CTGCTCTTGATATTAAAAAAACCTAGTCTTATCTCTCTAAAGATGTGAGGGGAAAGGGAAGAGGGGAGACATATAGTGTGATGTTCCCTAGTCCTGAGTCCCTAAAAATGGTACTGGAGGGGAAGCATGACATATATAACCAAACATGGGAGATACTCTACCAAGATTAATCATTATGCAGGATGCAACTGGATGTATCTAAAAAACAGCAAAACATATGTCACAAAGCCAGAGGAAAATAAAACAGTGCCAGTAAGTGGAGCATCCTCGGCAAAACGAGTTAGCAGAACATGAAACAGCAATGAGAAGATGAAGAGCCAGCCACAGGTTTGGTGGATGGAAATGGTTTACTCTTCAGAGAACATTATCAAAATAAAGAAGGAAATTTCCTAAAAGAGGGCACATTTTGGATAATTGCAACAGGCCTTGATTTGGCTTGTGATAGTAAGTGATCAAAATGCCCAAGACTAAATTAAGAAATGTTTTTTTCGGGACACCTGGGTGGCTCAGTGGGTTAAGTGTCTGCCTTCAGCTCAGGTCGTGATCTCAGAGTCCTGGGATCGAGTCCCGCATCAGGCTCTTTGCTCAGTGTGGAAGCCTCCCCCTGCTCATGCTCTCTCTCTCTTTGATAAATAAATAAAATCTTAAAAAAAAAAAAGTGTTTTTTCCTACTCAGACCCTACTCATTGAATAATTTTTAAAATTCAGTCAGCAGGAACAATTTCTCACTTTCAAACCCTACACTATTTAAGTGCTAGCAACGAGAAAAGAAAATTAGCATCACTTTTAAAGTCTGTTTTTCAGAGAAAGACAAATACTATATGATCTGACTTATATGTGGAATCTACAAAAACGAAAACAAAAAACCCCAACAAAACAAAGTCAAGCCAAGCATGTGAATACAGAGAACAGATGGGTGGTTCACAGAGGTGGGAGGTGAGGGTGTGTAAAATGGGTAAAGGGAATCAAAAGGTACAAACTTCCAGTTATGAAATAGATAAGCCATGGGCATGTAATGTATAGCATGGTGACTATATGGTATATTTGAAAGCTGCTAAGAGTAAATCTTTTTTTTTTTAAGATTTTATTTATTTATTCATGAGAGACAGAGAGAGGCAGAGGGAGAAGCAGGCTCCCAAGGAGCAGGGAGCCCGATGCGGGACTCGATCCCAGGACCCTGAGATCATGACCTGAGCCGAAGGCAGACGCTTAACCATCTGAGCCACCCAGGTGCCCTGCTAAGAGTAAATCTTAAAAGTTCTCATCACAGAAAAAATCTGTAACTATGTATGGTGATGGATGTTAACTAGACTTTTTGTGGTGATCATTTCACAATATATACAAATTTAGGATCATTATGTTGTGCACCTGAAACTAATATAATGTTGCATGTCAGTTGTACCCCAATAAAAAGGTCATTTTTTCTTTTTCTTACAGATGGTGTATTTACAGATATAAAAGTTGTCTACCCATATTATTTGCATTAGTTAGTTATACTGTACAATATAAGACTAAAGGTTTCACTTCACTAGATAGTACATACGTATAAATATCTCAAAACTGATAAAAAAACAGTGCCGTTTTCATGATCTAGAAGATAAGGGCAATTTTTCTGATTATATTTGAGAAAGTATCTAGTACTGCTATTTCACAATATAAAGCTCACGTCTAGGGTATCTTGGGTGGGGGGCGGGAATCACATCAACTTGGGTTAACAGATACACAAAGGAAAGAAAAATAATTCCCCTTAAGGTTTGGGTTTGGTACTAGGATATTAGTGGGTTTCTAAAGTTAAAAGCATTTTAAAATGTTGGCTCCTCTAACCTTTTTACCCTGAGACTACGTTTACATGTGTTGTGTAAGAGCCACCAAGTACCCCTTTTTGATTATATAAGTGCTTGGGACTAAGTTAGATACAATGGCAATTTCTGTGTGGCCCAGGCAGGCATGGGGGCACGGACGGAGGCAAGCTCATGGTTGCTGGTGAGGCAGTGTGGAGGTAGGAGGGTGGGAGACAGGCAGGCGTAGAAAGAATATAAAATTGTATTCTTTACATGGGAACACCCTGCCAAACAGAACAGCGGTAGAGTGAATGGAGAAATCAGTAGTACATGCTGGTGAAGACTGAATCCAAAGAGAGGAAATCTCTGTGTTTTCCCCTTTGCATCAGTTGTTGGCTCTGGTTCTGTTCTTTTCAGTCAACTCCTGCTCTCGCCCTCCATTCCTCTTCCTCTCACCTTCCTATTATTTAGTCTAAGTAACTGTAGACAAGCTATGCGCGTCCAAGTTGTGAGGAAAGGGCCAATGGCCTTTTAGACTGTTTTCATGAGAACATTCATATCCCCCTTTAGGAAACGTTCAGACTTGTTAAAGAGAAGCTTAGACCCAGAATGTTTGTTGGCGCCGCTTAGTTCTGTTGAATAAAGAGGCATCCTCGGTTTCTTTCTACAATGCAGTACTCTATTGCTCTGGATATTCAGTGTTATCCATGGACCAGCAGCATCAGCATCAGGGAGCTTGCTAGACGTGCAGACTCTTGGGCTTTTCCCTGACTGACTGGATTAGAATCTCATTTAGTAAGATCCACCAGGTGCTTTATATGAAAAGTTGAAAAGCGCCGATTTATCCCTTCTTGAAAACAGAATCAGCTCAGAGTAATGTCCACCAGACAACAGAAACTTTGAGATACACGTTTGTATGTTGCTATGGTGAGAAATATGTAATTGAGAAGTTTACCCACCTTGAACAGCTGTCCTATGAAAGGGGATACAGTTAGGTTCTGAGATAAATCAACTCTCTATTATGGACCACATGAGTCCTGTAAGTTACTTCTAACACTTGGTGCCACAGAAAATGTAGCTGATAACCACTAATATTATTAGAACTTAAATAATAGTATAAATTTGTGTGAACTCAAGGCAAGACTTGACTGAAAAGTGGCAACATTAGGAAAAAAATCTGTCAGGATTTGGAGTCTGCCAGACCTAGTTTGAAATCAGTCTGTGTTGGGGGCACCTGGGTGGTTCAGTTGGTTAAGC